ATATATAGGCAGGGGGCTGGAAGGATGGGTCAGTGGTAAAGAATACTGACTACCCTTCCAGAGGACCCAGGTTCAATTCCCAACACCCACAACTGTCTGTAACCCCAAGATCTGACACCTTCACACAGACATATATGTAGGCAAAATACCAATGCACATAAAAGAAAACATAAATTTAATAACATAAAATACAGGCAGATGAGAGGGGGGAAAAGTGGATGCAGGGTCAGGATGGAGATATGTAGAATGGACAGGGAGGTCACCTTCCACTGTCCCTGAAGCCTGAAGTTAGGTATGGGCTTAATAGTGTTTCCTGGCATTGGGCAGTGGTGGTGTACGTCTTTAATCCCAGCACAGGAGGAAGTGGCACGTGGGTTGGTTTACTTTATGATCCCAGATTAAGTGGGGGAACGGCCATCGTATTGGCAAATCTGATCACACACCTTGTGATGCCACTTAGGAAGTATTGACTTCAGGAATTACGCATTTGATCTACACTGGTCTAATGGAGAGTTGGCGAAATATATTTGTTCTGTATTTGGGAGAAGAGTTTCCTGTCTCCTTCCTGTCAAGATATGACAGGCAATCATGTGCCTATGTTCATGTTACTGTAGTCATTATGTCCTTTCTGTGGCCACAGTTTCTTCCACTAGATGTCAATGCATCCATAAGCAATGCATCCACATGGGACACTTCTTTTCTTTTTTTCCTTTCCCTTCCTTCTTTCCTTCTCTTCCTTCCTTCCTTCCTTCCTTCCTTCCTTCCTTCCTTCCTTCCTTCCTTCCTTCCTTCCTTCCTTCCTTCCTTCCTTTTTTGGTTTGTCGAGTCAGGTTTCTCTGTGTAACAGTGCACAACTTGAATGAGATCAGGCAGTGATCTAGTGAGACTAGGCACCTCCTCTTCTGTCAAGGTTGGCTGACTGCCTCTGCCTTCTAAGCGCATTAAATCTAAGGGATTAAAGGTGCGAGCCAAAATGGGTTCTTGATTTCTTTCTTCTTCTCCCCCTCCTGCTGGACAGGATTTCTCTTTTTAGTCCTGGAACTTGATCTGTCGTCCAGGCAGGCCTCAAAAGCAGAGATCTGATCACACACCTTGTGATGCCACTCTGCTTCCTGAGTGCTGGGGTTAAAGGCGTGCACCATGATCACCTGGCCTAAACCTTAATTCCTAAAGAGCTTGTGGCTGCTAGGTAAAATGACTAAGACAGGTAGTTTAGTTTTCTTTTTTTATAGTTTTTCAAGACAGGGTTTTCCAGTAGCTATGGAGCCAGTCCTGGACTGCTCCGTAGACCAAGATGGCCTTGAACTCACAGAGATCTGCCAGTCTCTGCCTCCCAAATGCTGGGATTAAAGGAGTGTGCCACCACACCCAGCAAGGGCTGGGCTTTTGGAGTGAGTATCTATATAAGCCAGAGCCTGGGCCCTTCTGCTCAGTTCCATTCTGAAGTCAGTTGCTTGGACTTGCCTTATTCTGAAGTAGGAGGAACATTTGAGCATTTGCAATGCGAATCAATGGTGTTGACGGCCCGAATGCCTGGTGGAGATGTACTGAGAACTTCGAATCCCCACTTGTACTCTTCATAGATTCGGACCAGGAGAACTGCATATTCGGTAGGTGGTCTTTCCTTTATCTCTTTCTCTTTCATGGTTTTCCAATTTTCTCCTTTTTTTCTTGACTGTATCAGTTCTTTTGTGACACTTGGTGACCCAGTGAGATTTATTGGGGTTACTCGGGAATAGGAGTGAGGGGTTACCCATAGGAGCAGAAAGGACTCATCACTAAATCCCACCCAGCAGGGGTGACAGCTCTCAAGAGCTGGGGAACCTGGAGTACACTGACTAGACAGCGGCAGCCCAACTTGTTGGTGGGTGTTCTTGCCCAGCAGCCCAGTTGGCCTGATCCTCTTTTCCAGGCAGCCCTTCTTCTTCTTCTTCTTTTCTGGTTTTTCAAGACAGGGTTTCTCTGTAGCTTTGGAGCCTGTCCTGGAACTAGCTCATGTAGACCAGGCTGGCCTCAAACTCACAGAGATCTGCCTGCCTCTGCCTCCCTAGTGCTGGGATAAAAGGCATGTGTCACCATCACCCTGGCTCACTTTCTATTTATGAAAATTTATTTACTGAATGTATACTGGTGTATTGTTTATATTCTGTATGAAGGTGTTAGATACCTTAGAACTGGAGTTATAGACAGCTGTGAGCTGCCATGTGGGTGCTGGGAATTGAACCCTAGTCCTCTGGAAGAGCAGCCAGTGCGCTTAACTACTGAGCCATCTCTCCAGCCCCTACTGGCAGTCTTACTGTTCTACATATTTTTTTTTGCTTGTTTTTTGAGAAAAGGTTTCTTTGTGTAACAGCCAGGAACTAGCTTCTGTAGAAGGAACTGGCCTAAACTCACAGATCTGCCTGCCTCTGCCTCCCTAGTGCTGGGATTAAGGGCATGCACCACCACCGCCTGGCTCTACTTACGCTTGTTTTGTTTTTTTGAGATAGTGTTTCTCTGTGTAGCCTTGGCTGTTCTGGAACTTGCTCTGCAGGCTAAGACATCTACCTGCCTCTGCCTCCTGAGCTCTGGGATTAAAGGTGTGTTACCCAGTTTACTTAAGTACAACTGGGGAGGTCAGAGCCTGGTAAAGCTCATCAACTTTGAGAGACTTCCAGAAGGTGTTTACTTCTGTCTTGGTTTTTCGAGACAGGGTTTCTCTGTAGCTTTGGAGCCTGCCTGGAACTAGCTCTTATAGACCAGGCTAGTCTCGAACTCACAGAGATCCACCTGTCTCTGCCTCCCGAGTGCTGGAATTAATGGTGTGCACCACTGCTGCCTGGCCATTTTTGCTTTTCTTTAAGCTATTTTTTTTTTGGGGGGGATTGGTTTTTAGTGTCTATGTAGCCTTGGATTGCTTGAAGCTAGCTAGGTAGATCAGGTTGACCTTGAATTCACAAGGATCTGCTTGCCTGTACCTCTGCTCCCTACCTGCTGGGATTAAAGGAGTGTACCACAATGGCTGGCACAGACTGTTGTCTTATCTCTTCTTTAACACCCATTTCCTTTACAGCTTCACTCCAAACAAGTTTGAATCTTGGACCTACCTCCTATCTACTACCACCCTCCTTAGGGACTTTTCTATTCTATTCATCCAACAAATGCTAGTTGTTTATCCGTCTCCTGTCTTCTCCCTCTGCACAGGCCAAAGAGGCTTATACCTCAGGCGCATTGAGGAACACACCAACACCTTTATTCAACTGGAGCAGTGGTTTACAGCCTCCGGCCAGACTCGAGTCACTGTGGTTGGGCCCCCCCAAGTCAAGCAGTGGTTGGAAGATATGTTTCGGGGCATAAGCAGCGAGAACCTTTACCTCCATCTGCTAGGTAGGTGACGGCAACAGAATTGGGGTTGAGGGGTTGATTGCTTGTCAAATAGTTGTACAGCACCATGAATTCTCATTTAGTCTCCTAGGAATATGGGGTTCCAGATGTGCCTCAAAATCCATTCCAAGGGAAATGGTTTTAGGTTGTAGCCATTTTTTTTTTAATTGCATGAAGTCCCTAAGATCATGGGAGGTATGACTAGATGGCTTGGGGAGGCCTGGGCTGATGTCTTTCCCCTACTGTGTCCCCAAGAAAGTCTTGTTCCTAGTCCTGAGTCTCACTTCACCATTCCCTCCCCCAGGCCTTAGTATGTTGTGGCATGTCCAGGAACGGCCCCTGACCAGCGCTGACTTGGAGGACTATTTCAGGATGCAGTCGTAACTGGGGTCTGTCACGACCTAACAGGACGACAGGGAACACCTCAGACTGATCTCACCAGGAAGAGCAGGATATGGAAACTTTCACCAGCGTTTGAGAAAAGCATGGAGAATATGAAAGGGACTTGAACGGCGGGGTGGGGGGGTGGGAGGTGGGGGGGTTGGGGAAGTGGGGGGGGGGTGGGGGGGGGGAGGTGGGGGGGAAGGGCACNGGAAGGGCACTAGCACTAGCCTGTCACTCTCGCTCGCGCACGTGTCTGAGAGGGAAGTTTCCTAAGCCCACCAACAGTGCTGTGGTGGCAAACATCCAATAAATAAGTTCCCTGGTGTGAAATGCCTCTTCTGCTAATTTATTTCCTTTGAATAAACTTGCCCAGTATCTCTGCAAGCTGTGTTCCTAGGTCTGGGCAGATTGTATTGTCTCTGTAGCTTTGGTGCCGGTCCCGGAACTAGCTCTTGTAGACAGGCTGGCCTCGAACTCCCAGAGATCCGCCTGCCTCTGCCTCCCGAGTGCTGGGATTAAAGGCCTATGCCACCACCACCCGGCTTTTTTTTTTTTTTTTTTAAGAGCCTGGTAGGCTACACTCTATGCCGAAAACACAGGTTCTGTAGATTTAAGGTCCAGATGGTAATGCATTTGTTGAAGTGGTCAGTTCACTGAGCCTGGTAAAAATGAACTGCCCGAGTTATCCCTGACTGTCAGTTGTTCCTGGTGGACTTGGAAAGTGGTTTGGGGGATCCATGAGTAAGTTAATAGCAAGAGTTTCCTGACTCTGTTCAGAAGAGCGAGCACCATCCTTCTGTTGATGCTCCACCCAACATATAGCTGGCCAAGCATTTCCTTCCTTGGTCATCTCTTCCTTATACTGCACCTCAGCAGCCTGCAGCTTACAAGGGACTCCATTGGGGGAGAGAAGCATCATGCCTTGGACCAGAGTGGAATGGAAGAAAAGTCAGACAGTTGCTGAAGTTGGCACATTCTTTGGAACTAAGTTTATGAGTTCCGCATTGCCAACTGCTGAACAGGAAGTGGTTCGGTTTCACACTAGAAACACTTCCGAGCCTGAGTGGAAGAAGCAACCTAACTACTCTCAAAGGGGAATATAATTTTTTATTTGATAATTTCACTTTATTTTTTTGAGACAGATTTTTTTTTTTTTCTGTGTAACAATCTTGACTGTCCTAGAACTCATTTTCCAAAGCAGGCTGGCCTTGTACTCACTGAGATCTGCCTGCCTCTGCCTTCCAAGTGGTGGGATTAAAGGTGTACCCCACCCCGGCAATTTTTTACTTGTGTGTATATGTGTGTGTGTGTGTGTGTGTGTGAGTGAGTGTGTGTATGTGTATACAGGCCAGAAGAGAGCAGCAGATCTCATTACAGATGATTTTTGAGTCACTATGTGGTTGCTGGGGATTAAACTCAGGACCTCTGAAAGATCAGTCAGTGCTCATAACTGTTGAAACACCTCTCCAACGCAACATTTTAAAGCTTAGGAGGCAGAGGAAAAACAGACTGAGTGATTGTTTAGGAACATATGTGTATACATGTGTGCGTGTAAGGATAGCTAAGGAAAAAAAAAAACATGAATTTGAAAGACCAAGGAGGTGCATATGATCTGGAGAGAGAAAAGGGAAGGGGTAAAATGATGTAATATGTAAAATTTTCTAAAAGAAAAGACCTGGTGTAGTGGTGTACACCTTTAATCCTAGCACTAGGGAGGTAGAGGCAATGTGATCTCTGTGATTCAGGCCAAGCTGGAGAGTTCCAATCCAGCCAGCGCTACATAGACCTTGTCTCAAAAAATGCATAAACGCTATTTTCTCCTTCACATCGGTCATCAGCAAGTCAACATTCTTCTCCAGGCTGCAGTTTAGGTCTGTAAGTTCCAGTCTGAATGGCTTGTGTGCTCTAAGCACCTAGGTATAGTGACCTTTTGAAGGGGATATGGCAGTGATCTGGTTACACTGTGGTTTTCCTGATGCCTGGTCATCTCTGGCAAGTTACTGATCTCTTAGTATACATAGATTTCATGATCTCTAACACAGAGATGAGAATAGAAATCACCTCGGGCACGCTACTCTTCTTTCTCTTTTACTGTCTTTGTTATTTGGAGACAGTGTCCCCCTAGGTAGTGCCCAGGCTATCCTGGAGTTCACAGAGATCTGCCTGCTGAGTGGTGGGATTAACAGCATGTGCCACCACACCTTTACTGTCTTTCTCATGAGATCAGTGTTTGGTTTGCTCTCCTCTGAATCCTTAGCTCCAACAACTAAGGCTGTAGCCAATCAGATCATGTACTTTGTGATGCTGGTGTTCTGAGAATTCATGTTTGACTGGTGTTGGTTTCAGGAGGTGCCAGGACAGTATTTTTTATTCGTCACTTGTCTCCCTCCTGTGTTGGAAGTCATTAAAGAGATATGCTGTGTGAGTGGTCACTGGTGGTTGTCACGTGGGCGATAAAGGAGACACCAGCAGTGTCCAAGGGACGGAGACAGAAGACCTTGGCAGCTTCATGATGGAATGGAATAGAGGATAGCCTGTCTTTATCTCTAGCCTTATGAGATTGGCTTGTTTCTATGCTCGTTGTTGCTCCACTGGTATTTCTTTCTCTCCTTCCTTCTTTCCTTTCTTTCTTCCTTCCTTTTTTTTTTCCATTTTTAAATTTTGGAGATTGGGTTTCTCTGTGTACCCCTGGCTGCCCTGGAACTCACTCTGTATGTAGACCAGACTGGTCTCATACATCTGCCTGCCTCTGGAATGCTGGGATTAAAGGCATGTACCATCACTTTTGGCTTCATTAGTGTTTTTCCCTGTTCCTCTTTTCAGCAAAGTTATTAGTATGTTTTAACTCAAATGCCTCCTAAGTGCCCCATTAATTTTCATAATATAATTGGGGTAATATGACAGCAATCATTTTTTGAGAGATTATGTAGAGTTTCAATATGTAGCTGATGGTAATGTTCCAGTTTGGTTTCCAATGCTTTAATAAAGACCATTGCCAAAAGCAAAACACACCAAAGAATAAAAATGAAATAAATCTGAGAAACCTCAATAATTCAGAATTAGATGAGCTATAAGGAGAAGTCTTAATGTTAATGAAAATCTAAAAATTTCAAAGATATACTTGCATCAGACTTGAAGTATTTGAAACCAGGGAAATATTACCTGCCACTTCAAAAGACCAGCAGCCCAATTTTTGATTTCTCTGTAGTTTTTGGTGCCTGTCCTGGAACTAGCTCTTGTAGACCAGGCTGGCCTCGAACTCACAAAGATCCTCCTGCCTCTGCCTCCTAATATTTTTAGTTTTTAAAAGATTTATTTGTTCAGCCGGGTGTTGGTGGCTCACACCTTTAATCCCAGCGCTCAGGAGGCAGAGTCAGGCGTGTCTCTGAGTTCGACGCCAGCCTGGTCTATAAGAGCTAGTTCTAGGACAGGCTCCAAAGCTACAAAAAAACCTTGTCTCGAAAAACCAAACCAACCAACCAAACGAAAGATTTGTGTGTGTGCTTCCTTTTGAGTTTCTGTGTGCCAAATGTGTGCAGTGTCTTTGGAACTAGAGTTATAGGAGGTTGTGAGTTATGCAAAGGTGGGTGCTGGGAAGTGATCCTGGTTCCACTGCAAGAGCAGTAAGCAGTGCTGAGCCACTTTTTCAGGCTCTGTATAATGAAGTTTCTCATGGAAAAAAGGACACTGTCCCTTTGAGGTAGAAACGTTTTCCTGGTAAGGCAGAGCTGAGTGTATGCACGCACCCACATGATCCGCACTGGGCACCCTCCTGGTTTTTGTTTCTTATTACTTGTTTAGCAAACTCTTGTGTTATACTGGCCGGGTATCTCTAAGGCTGAATCCCCAAAGGCTCGCCAAAGATTTTGAGAGTTGATATGAACACCATATATAGGAAATCCCATTCCACGAAACTTTCTTCTATGGCACAAATTATTAAGAAGAGTACATAAGGGATGGTAATGCCTCCAGAAGATCCTTTATTGTATAGGACTGTTTTGGCTATCCTGGGTTTTTTATTTTTCCATATAAAATTGATTATTGTCCTCTCAAGATCTGTGAAGAATTTTGATGGGACCTTGATGGGAATTGCATTGAATCTATAAATTGCCTTTGGTAGAATTGCCATTTTTACTATGTTGATCCTCCCAATCCAAGAGCAAGGGAGGT